CTCATTAAAAGCATTCAGATCTGAGTCAAGCTATGCTAATAAAGAGTAGTTGAGAAGTCATGAAAGAAGATGCAAGAACTAAAAAGAATGCATATAAAATAAGCTTAGGAAGGGAAGGGAAGGGAAGGGAAGGGAAGGGAAGGCAGTTGGGGTATCTTAGCTCATGCAATCTGTTCCTCCCATCATTACCAACTCATAATCCATCTTACTTACTTTTAAGAAACTGAAAGCAAAAATGAATATCATAAAAAGCCTCTGTTTCTCATGCATGGCCTGCAGTTCACCTACCTGAATTTGAAGCAACAACCAATTATATAAACAGAAACAAATGTAGAACAAACAAGTACTACTTCTACTTTTCTCTCTGTTTCTAAGTAAATGGCAGAAGGAGGTGGAGATTTGGTAGGCCCTTAGTCTGAGGTGGGTTTTTGTCTGATGAAGCTTTGGGGGTGTGATGCCATTCCTATGGTCCAGTAGTTAACTATTGCTATCACTTCAAATCTTTACTTTGGTTTTTTCTCAGCATTGCTAAGGTTTTCAGAGCACTTCAGAGGGGATCCTTCCTGTCGTCTTCTAGGTCCTTGGGGGAACTGTTTCATTCAAACCTGTACTGTGTATAAGATTTTGAGTATGATTCTCTTGACCAAATCTATCTATTATTGAGAGGTTTCTAATTCCTCTGCTTTCTATCAATAAATGCAGGAGATTCTAATCATAGTATTGTCATCATGCAAAGCCTGATGGAGAGACTAAGACCCCTTGTGGGTAGTAAAAGCTGGAACTATTGTGTTCTATGGAAATTGAGCCAAGATCAGAGGTAGAGTTTACTACTTTGTTTTCTCTCTCTCTCTCTCTCTCTCTCTCTCTATCACTCCCAAGCTTAGCTTTTAACTCTGTTTCAGCCGTTCAGGATCCATCCGATTTCTCAAAAGCCTTCTCTTTTGTTTCAGATGTGTTGAATGGATGAACTGCTGTTGTGCTGGGACTGAGAATGGGCAAAATGGTGGAGAAGAACTTGGGTTTCCTGTTTCTCAAGTCATTCCATGTAGGGACACTGCATATCCACACCCAAGAGCCAGTTCTTGTGATCTTCTTGCTCAGCTGCCATGTTCTGTGCCTCTAAATTCTGGGTATCTAATTGATATTTATCATCTCCACATACCCTCCCCTTCCTCCTCTCTCTCTCTCTCTTTCTCTCAGTTGTTCTTTGTTGAACAGGGTTTACATACAGACACTGCTATCAAATGAACCCAAATGGCTACTCTTCTCCAATACCATGGATTCAACCGCACTGGATGTGAGTAGCATTCACAGGGGAAAGAGTACCACAGGTTGCAACAAATAGCTTACATTTTTTTTCGTTCTCTTTGCAGGAAACAGCGGGAACCAGGGTGTTAATTCCATTTCCATTTGGACTTGTGGAGCTGTTCGTCGCTAAACATGTATACACATACACTACAAGTAATCTCATTCTTTTAAAGGGATTGAATTAAAAAAATAGCTAAACTGCAGCAACATGTTTATTCGAGTTGAAGGATAGCAAAATGGTTTTTCTATAATGTATTTAGACAGATTCCCTCTGTTCTCACAGGCATCTGAAGATCAGCATGTCATAGATTTTGTAACAATTCAATGCAGCATTTCTGTTGAGCAAGAAGCCATTATTAATTCAAGCAACATGGATACAAGTTTCTCTGTTGATGTAAACGCAACAAACGAAATCCAATCAAAGCCGTTTGTAGCGGATCGGAATGCTGTTCTAAAAGATCCTGAAATTCAATTTGAGGCACCAGGTTCAGCCGCACCAACATTAGAAAACGCCAATGTGGGTTATGATATCTCATTAGACAGAATCCGCCTCTGCAGTTCTCCTATGAATTTCTTGCAACAGTTCAATTATAGCTCAGAAAACAGAAATAAGAATGAAATTTTCAATGAATGCTCACAGGATTCATTCCTTACGGATAAGCAGGGAAACCATTACAAGTTTTCAGCTGAAAATGAGTTCCAAGAGGTGGATACGATGCAAGGGTCCTTAATGAACACATCAAACATTCATGTGCAGTTAAAGGAGAACAGTGAATGCAAAGAGCAGCAAGGGGAGGAAAAAGACTTGGTCAAACATGAAAATGGAAGGTCTGATTCAATCTCTGATTGCAGTGATCAGATCGATGACGAAGATGATGCAATCGCAAAGTACCGCCGGAGGACTGGGCAGGGTCCTCAATCAAAGAACCTTGTTGCTGAGAGGAAGAGAAGAAAGAAACTAAATGAGCGGCTGTATAATCTCCGAGCATTGGTTCCCAAAATTTCTAAGGTGATTACCTCTAAACCCTGTTCAGATCACTAGAAACTATGAAGGAAAATGAAACAAAACAGCTTGCTAGTACTTAAATCAGTTTATAACTCGTTTGAGTTAAATATATCCCAAAACAACAAACTGGTGTTTATATTATCTTCTAATGCATAGTTTCTGTGGATTTCTCAGATGGATAAAGCCTCAATACTTGGTGATGCAATTGATTTTGTGAAGGAGTTGCAAAAGCAAGTCAAGGAACTCCAAGATGAACTGGAAGAACATACAGATGATGAAAACGGTAAAACTGTAGTTTCAGGAAACAATGGAAACCAAAATAGTGTCCAACTACCTGAGTTTCTGAGCCAAAATGATAAAGCTCAAAACAGTTACCATATGGGAGTACTGGGAAGTGGAAGTATTTTGAAGCAAAATCATCAGGACACTGAAGGTACTAACAATGACAAGACACAACAGATGGAGGTATATATATAAGAAGTTAATAGTAGAAAAAAGCAACTGTCATTGTCCGTATTCACTACTGCAGATGCTAAAATAGAAGTGAAATTGAATAATTGCAGCCTCAAGTGGAAGTGGCTCAGATTGATGGGAACGAGTTCTTTGTTAAGGTTTTCTGCGAGAATAAGCGAGGCGGGTTTATGAGGTTAATGGAGGCCTTAAATGCTCTTGGCTTGGAAGTAACAAATGCAAATGTGACCAGCTATAGAGGCCTCGTATCTAATGTTTTCAAAGTTGGGGTAAGCAAACTTTTCATCTCCCAAACATTTGCATCCTTTCTAGAAATCAAAACAATAAAACAAACAATCGAGTCATTCAAACTAATCGGAATGTCAACTAGCACATAGCTCAACTGGTTAATGGATACATCCTCGACCAAGAGTTTAGGGGTTCAGGAATGTGAGATCCCACATCGGTTGGGGAGGAGAACGAAACACAAAGGTGTGGAAACCTCTCCTTAGTAGACGTGTTTTAAAAACCTTAAGAGAAAGTCCAAAGAGGACAATATCTGCCAGCGGTGGGCTTGGGGTGTTACAAATGGTATCAAAGCCAGACACCGAACGATGTGCCAGCAAGGAGGCTGTTCTCCGAAGGGGGTAGACACGAGGTGGTGTGTCAGTAAGGACGCTGGGCACCGAGGGGGGTGGATTTGGTGGGGTCCCACATTGATTGGAGAAAGGAACGAGTGCCGGCGAGGACGCTGGGCCCTAAAGGGGTGGATTGTGAGAACCCACATCGGTTGGGAAGGAGAACGAAACACCCTTTATAAGGGTATGAAAACCTCTCCCTAGCAGACGCGTTTTAAGAACTTTAAGGGGAAGCCCGAGAGAACTAGCCCATCAGGTATTAATCAATGATTCAATAATGACTTGAGTAACATTTTGGTGGCAGAAGAAGGACAGTGAAATGGTTCAAGCGGATGATGTAAGAGACTCTTTGCTGGAGATAACAAAGTACCCATGCAGAGGGTGGGCAGAAATAGTGAAGGCACCAGAGTGCATTGGAAGCCGCATGGAGCCCAACCCCCACCCCCACCAGCACCAGACCCAGAATCCATTTCAAGACAAAGCTATCATCAATTCACGACTTCATCTCCTTAATGAATAATTCCTACTTCTTCTTCCCTCTTTATACTCGAGCAAAAGCACCGAATACAGACTATATTTATTTGTTCTCTCTAATACTTTGTAGTACATCCACCGTAATAAAGAATGATGAACACGCAAATCAAATCCACAAGCATATGCTGTCGAGTAATCAAAATCAATTACCTCCTAGTGACGAGTGAGGGAGGGCGTGTAAGATAATGCATGACCATATCAACAAACTCTAGCCCAGATTTCTCTGTTCGGCCATGAAATTCGATGATATCTTCAACAAATTTACGAATAGGAGCAGAAGCTCGAGACTAAAATTACTTCAACTGTCTACGCAATCGCACAAATTCACAGAAAAAGAAAGAAAGAACTTCATCATCGCTAGTATGTCAAGTTTACGAGAAAGCCAATGGATTCAGGGAATTTTTCCAGTCTAAAGCCTAAATCTGAGCAGAAGAAACCAATTCTATTGAAAAGTACAGAAATGGAAATCAAACAAGGAAATATCAAGAATGTCGAGAATCTGAAAATGTTGTGGAAGAAAAAGAACCACTTACATTGGCATAAGAATTTCGATTCAGAGGATTGTGAGAAGCTTTGGGAACTGGTTTTAAACGAAGATCATCGAACTTCTCTCAATGGGAATTGGTTTGTACGATTACTTTTTTTTACCTCTTCACTAATAATTGATTATAATTTCTTGCCATTTAGTTGAAATTAAAAACATGTTTAATATTACATTTTTAACCCCATTTTCATACCATTAAAGTTAATTTTTTAATTAATAAAAACAAAAATATATTTGTCCCCGCAAATTTGATGGGTAATTTTAACCATTCTCAATCATCCTCAATGATTCTACAACAGAGTACACCATAGAGCTTTCGTTGAAGCCTCCTTATCTAGAGCTCCCGAACAACCTCCTCCTCCTTTTAATCGAAGCTCACTCCTTTGAAGCCTTCAAACAAAATACACCCTGCTTCTAAATCAAATCTTTGTTTCATACAAAAGCAATCACGGAGCACATGCATTTGATTATACGATAGAACATAAGATCTCTTAAAAAAAAAATATCGAAAACCACCGCATTTTAACAGTTTCATAATAATCAATGGATATGAATTCAAATCTATATTTCTCGAACGTGGCTATGTTGTATATTTCTTGTGGCAGGTAAGAAAATTACGAGTATGAGCACCATTTCAAGACGTTTGGCTTCAGTTCAGCCATTTGAGTGATCAACCAAAAAACCACTAACGTGTAGAACTGAAACTTCAATACCGTGTCGAAGCCATCGATAGCTACCGTTACTTTACTGCTGTGTCTACGGTCATCTAATACGAATGAGATCAAAAAGGCCATCAGCCACCGTTACTTTACTGCTGTGCCTACGGTCATTTAATATTGTAAAACATGTTAAACTATTTCGAATCGAGTTTTGATTAGACTAAAGTATGAAATGAAAGAACATGAAAGAAAATTCTAATGAGCTTTTGAGAACTAATGGAGTTGGGGATTTATGCAACCTAGAATTGTGCAGCACATTGAGTTAAGAAAACCCATGTAAAAGGCTCCCATAAACATCAACTACAAAATGGCATGATCAAAATCCAAAAGCTCATGCTACAATTTAGAAGAGTTTCACTAATAAGATGGACATCTCAAGTATGTTCTATGAAAGAAACAACCAATGTGGCATTACGAACACGATAGATTCATGGTAAAAAAAAGGGAAAAAGATGATTGAATCAATGCATCAAAAACTTTCTGACCAGCATACCTGGATGAAATTGTACAGCTGATTGGCTCCCATGACTCGAATTGAGCTGAGTCTCACACTGAATCAATTAAAAGTCGTCATCGTCTTCTTCGGCTATATGCTTAGCAAGTTCTTGCTCCTGCTGCTGTCTTTCTCTCCTTTTCTCAGCACTTTCCTTTTCTTTGTGGGAGTTTGGTGGGAACCTGAGAGCACGAACTGCCTCATTGTGCATATTCAGGCAGAATGCAATCCTTGAGTTGAAGGCAATTTGAGGCTCATTGGTAGAGTAGATATCTCCAGTCTCCTTGGATACCATCCATCCCTTCGCGTGATCAACTGTGGCATCAATTGCTCCATCTCGGATTGCCTTTGAGACGATACTCTCGGCATCAGCAATAGGATTTTCAGAGTCCAGTCTCAGCTTTTTAGCAATATCAGCCAGAGAAATGCGCGAATATGATATGCTAATGTTGCGCAGCCCAGTTCTAATTACATTATGTCGTAGCCTCACGATCAAATTGTTGGTCCGATCTGAGCTGAAAGTACTAGAGAACTTCTCAGCAACCGTTCTGAAAAGCTCCAAGTCGCCAATTCTCACAGCCTGAAAGAAAAAAACATTGTTAATAAAAGAGCAGAATAGACTATTGACAAATGACAAGGGAGTTCACTATAATTCATATGAAAAGGCCAATTCAAGTCGCATTCATTTTTTTTTTTTCCTTCACAGAGGAAGAGAGGAAAGATGGAGGAGGGAGCGGTGGGAAGTTTGGGGCCAACATGTTACTATTGGTAATTGGATTTCTGCAGTAAAGCAATCACCAACCTAACCTTTTCCGAAGACGAAATTACTTTTATTTTTGTTAAAGCAAATAAAACGGTCGAATACTTCTCGAACATAAACTTACATTTGTAAGTTCAAAGTATGGCCTCAGAGCTGTCTCCATGCCTTTCTGCATGAAAACAGTCCTCTCAGGGATTTCTCCTAACAATAAGCGAACAATGATTGCCCATTTGTTGCATTGTACTCGAAAACCAAGCGCTGCAATAGGTGCTTTTCGAGCGGCTTGTAGAAGAGACTCCTTCGCATCTGTATATTCCAGCTGAATGGTCCTGATCTTGCCTAGGTAAAATAGGTACCTACAGAACTGTGCTAGAAACCAACATTCATAAGATACTTAACAAAAGTATTAAATTCTAGGAAATTTATACATACAAAACATCACTAAAAATTATTACATTAAAAAAAACGCCTGAATTCTTCTTATGCCTAGACATTACAAACTGCAATCATCATTGAAATTCAAAAGCATGTAGGCATGTAAAAATCGACAACTTTAAATCTCATCGCTAGAACTATTTAACGAGCCAAGTAACTTATGTTACAAGCATTTATACTGAAGAATGCTGCATAATATTGCAGCATAACTTTCTTAAATCCACAGATACTTGTTTTAGCAAAAGATAAAATAATAATAATAATGATTGAAAGAAAAAGATTATCGTCCTTAAACTTGCCTGCTGGTTTGAGTGAGCTTCAAATCGGGGTGCCTTGGACCTCAACTTCTCTGCTTGATCATAAAGATTGTAATAGAGGTAATTTCGAAGTAGTAGGTTGAGGAGGGTTTCCTAAATCACATTGTTACCACTATATAAGGCACCATAATATGGTATTAACTGATAGAAAAATGAAGAAAATTACCTGACCCAATTCATCATGGCGTAAAGTAGCAATGCGATGCAGAGCCAGGAGGTTACTGTCAATCAAAGTTTTCCATGTTACGAAATGAGTATCAATACACTCTACTCTGGAATCAAACCACCAGAATCATAGAAATGTATGAAATTAACTAACATAACTCTAATAAAATCTTTAAGTTATAACCCTACCCTCTTATTTCAGCAAGATCACCAGTGAGTTCGTAGCTAAGCGAGTAATAAAAGTAAAGCCTAGATGATAGCACATCAACCGTTCTTCTATTCAAGTTCTTCAATCGGGCAATGCTAGCTGAAGCACAAGCCTTAGCCTGAAATATCCAGCAAGTTTTCAGGAGTCAAGACCACAGTTCAGGCAAAATAGGAAAACCCCTGATAGATATAAGAGGAATACATCACCTCGCCATATTTCTTCTGATCAATCAGAAATACTAGCAAAAGCAAATAGCAGAAAATCTCTATCTCAGGTAAGGGATGTTTTACAGGTGCCTGAGTTAATGCCTTTGTTTCCGAGTCAACATCCATTTCGTAGTCATCCTCCTAACCAATTGTTAAACAAAGCTTATTACAGCGTTTTACAATCTTTATAACAGGGAATTGCATCATGCACACAAACAACAATGTTTCCATTAAATTTCGAATTACCTTCGGAATAAATGACGATAACCTTGTGTGCACATCGGATCCTGGCGGGAGAGCAAAATTCAGGAATGGAGAAAGAACAGACGCCTTCAATTTCTGCCTCAACGCCATAGTCAGACGAATAGCTCGAACGATTCGCCGGACTTCCCGTGCATACGCACCGGTTTCAAGAAGCGACACAATCTCTTTCAAATCTGATCGAAAGAAATCGTTAACAAATTTCAAAATCAAGGCCACTAAGAATTCAACAAAACATGAGAAAATGCAGATAAAGCTCTAATACGTTGTAACGTTGAAGGAGAAGTTAGAGCAGCAGAAGAAGAAATGGGAGGAGGAAGTTCCTTCATCTCAGCGTCTTGCGTCATCTTCGCAAATTCTGTATGAAATCCACAAAACTACACAACTGAATCGACAAGATTTCGAATGGAGAAACAGAAGAAAGAAACTAGATCGATAGCTGAAACAAATTAAACCTCGAATTCAGAGAAAGCCGGAGATTTTGCTGTATAAAGCGACTGGAGATGGCACCAAGGGTTTCTTCACGTTGCCTCGTGAGCAAGAAGCAAACCATACCATTTTTCTTTTTTAAAAACAAATTAAAAAATTATTTGTGATGGTAGCATCAACTATAACGAGTTAATGCAGACAATATCTACTAACGGTTGATTTAAGTTACTACAAATGATATCAGTGCAAATCACCAAATGTTGCAAGGCACTGGTTGGATTAGGAGTAGAATTAGACCCTTTTCATAATAGATACATTTTAAAGTTGTGAGGCTATGAATTTGGGCGGTTACAAATGCAGAGCTCATTAACAAACGGTGCAAGACACTGGTCGGAATAGGACTAGACCCTCTTTAAAATCTGGCCGGAATAGGACTAGACCCTCTTTAAAATTGTGAGGTTGTGGGCTTGGACTGTTACAAATGACATTAGAGTTAGTCACCAAATGGTGCGAGACTCTATAGTCACCAAATGGTGCGAGACTCTATAGTCACCAAATGGTGCGAGACACTAATTAGAGTAAGGCTAGATTCTCTCTATAGTAAACATATTTTAAAACCGTGAAGCTGATGATGATACGCAACGAGTTAAAACATACAATATTTGCTAACATTGGATTTGAGCGATAACAAAATTTTTATAAAATACATGAATTACTTTTTTTTTTATTGCAAATTGATTTTGAGATAAAACGGGACGTTTATTTAATAAAATTCTTTAGAAAAAGAATTCAAACATGATATTAAATCTTTTGCTCTCAACCACATGGATAGTTAAATGTGCTCATCAGTGCCTAACCTTGAGATGTGGATAATCCAAGACACATTAGTACGTCGTACTTCTCCTGTTTGAACCGGGGTTTGAAACCAAACTTCTCCTCGAGAGGATAGATGGGTCGATTCAGGTGAGATCCAATGTAAATCCAACTTTCTATTCACTTGTGGGATCCCTAGGGGACCACCTCGACTCCTCTCTTCTCAAGAATCCATACATCCCTTATCAGTTATATGGACAGCTATCTCTCGAGCACAAGTTTAGGTTCAGCCTCAATGGGAAAATAAAACGGAGCACCTAACAACGTATCTTCACAGACCAAGAACTACAAGATCGCCCCTTTCATTCTGGAGTGACGGAGGGATTGTACCATTCAAGCCCCATAACCCTAAAATACATACAATTGGTTGAATACATCAAGTAAGTGTCCCACAATCAAAAGCAGAGAACTTCATTAATAAACCAACAAGAAAATCAGCCAAGATGTTATCCCTCAAGTAATTCATCAATTTCCCTTCACTCTCTTGAATTGAACCAACCACATACGATGTAGTAATGAGCTTAATGCATCTCCATCTCCTTTCTTTTGCATATTTCTCTAACCCCTTCTCAATTCTCTTATATTCCTCTTCTCCTCCTCCCATTGGATTCCTCAACATAGCTTTGGCTAAACATCGAGCAAGAACGACGCCATCTTCCAATGCAGAACAACCTCCTTGTCCGAGATCAGGGGTCATCGAGTGAAGTGCGTCGCCTGCAATACAAACGTTACCTCGAGAAAAGTCATTCCAAACAAGCTCCCAAGGATGTCTACATCTCAATGGCAACGACACAAAAGAATCAACTTTAGAGTCTTCAACAACGGCCCTTACTCGATCAGGTACCTTTCCGAGCTTGCTCAAAATATGTTGCTTTAGTCTAACTGGGTTTTCTTCAATCTCTTTACCTTCGAGTTTCACAATGTGTTAGGAATACAATACAAGAAGATATCACGAGTATTATTACGGCGTTAAGAAAGGTGTGCCTAATGATTTCTCGAGTTCCGAGAGGCTAACCTTGTTTGGAAGAATGCCAAGTGCTAAACCAGTAGACAGTGTTGGCATTACATGGCATAACACCAAAGCGAAGGCCTTTGCTGAAAAACCACATGAAATTATTCTCAAATCCATGCCCATTCTCGTATGTTGTAATCCCTCTAGTAGCGTTTCTGCCTGACAAAGAAGGCTTCTTGAAGCCCAGCCACTTAGCAACCACAGACTTCACTCCATCACACCCAATCAACACCTTTTTTCAATTTCCCCAAAAGAGTTAGCATCATGGCCAAGCCCAACAAAAACCCGTTTTAGATATGTAAAAACGCGCATCGAACGTTGACATGACTAATAATGAAGGAGAATAGTATTTATATAATTGTTATGTAACAGTCCAAACTCACCGCTAATAGATATTATCTTCTTTGGGTTCTCTTAAAAGCTTCCCCTCAAGGTTTTTAAAACGCATTTGCTAGAGAGAGATTTCCACGCCCTGATACAGAATGTCCGTTCTCCCCTCCAATTGATGTGGGATCTCAAAATCCACTACCATTCGGGGTCCAACGTCCTCCCTTGCACACCGTGTAGTGTCCACCCCCTTCGGGGCTCATACCATTGTGAGATCCCATATCGTTTAGAAAGGAGGACGAAATATTCTTTATAAAGATGTGGAAACCTCTCCCTAGCAGACGCATTTTAAAACCTTGAGGCGAAACTCGGAAGGGAAAACTCACAGAAAACAATATTTGCTACCGATGGACTTAGGCTCGTATACATTGTATAAGAAATGTTCTTTAACAAAAAAGACAGTTCGATCTATCATTTTCGTTCTTATTCTTTGATTTTCATTTACGTTAGAATCTTAGAGAGTAAGAACTCAATTATTCAATACGACCACGTCTCTCTGTCACACTCAATCAACACCCTTTTTCCACAACAGACAGGCATATCAGATCAGAAATAACACTTCTAGTTTTAGAGCAATCATTCAACAACTAAACATGGCGGCTATGGCTTAAAAAGTAAATAATTTACCTTGGTTTTGAGAAGGGTTCCATCAGCAAGGTGCAGAAGCTTAAGAAAGCCAGCTGATTCTTCAATGGAAACAAGCTTGGAGGAGTATCGAATGGTGCCTTTTGGAAGATCCATTGCAAGTGCTTCTAATAATGACTTCCTCATTACAGTTCTGGCTTCTTGCTCTCTGTTCTCAAACCATAATTCTACTATTAATCAGCACTTCAAACATGTCGGCTATCACATATTTGGTAACAATTGTTGTTTGTTCGTTCAATTTTTAAATTAAAAATGAAAAACAATTACTTGAAAATAACTTGAGAAAATTAAATACCAATTTTATTTATTTATTATGCAAACTAATAAATTAATATGGTGAAAAATACCGAAAAAACCGTGAGATCCAACATTGATGGGAGAGGGAAATGAGTGTCAGCGAGAATGCTGAGCACTGAAAGGGATGGATTTTGAGATCCCACATCGGTTGGAGACAAGTGTTAGTTGAACACGACTTTCCACAATGGTATGATATTGTCCCCTTTAAGCATAATTCACGTGGCTTTGCTTTGGGCTTCCCCAAAAGGCCTCATACACATGGAGGTCAATATTCCTTTATTATAAATCATGATCATTCCCTAAATTAGCCGATGTGAGACTTTCATGGATTGAAACATTTTTTATAATAGTGTGGAAATCTCTCCCTAGCGGACTCGTTTTAAAACTTTGAGGGGAAGCCCGAAAGTGAAATTTCAAAGAGGACAATATTGGTGGGCTTGGTCAGTTACAAAAACCGAGAAACAAGAAACTCAATAAAAAATTAGAAGCAAGAAACCGAAATATTGTTAAACAAGCCCGACTTTTTTTTTCATGTTTCTTGCTTCTAGTTTTTTTTTTATTATTATTATTTTAATGATAATGAAAAGCACAATTATATTTAGCCACTATTTTTTGCAATGAACAATTATTCTTTAGTTCTTATGTTCTAAAGATTTAAATTAAAATGTAAATTATTTTTAATAATTAAATATTCAAATATTTATACTGTATTTATTTTAAAATAAAACAATTTTAGAAAAATGAGGAACAATCAACAAATACAGAAATCTCACCCGCGGGTCGTAAAGCGCAGATTCGAAGTTGGAAGCCCCGAAACCGCAGAGAAAGTCACGTTTCTACAATCAACAAAGCCAAGAAACAAAAATCGAGATTCAAATTAACAGAAACAGAAGAAAAATTCTAGAATCGAAGTATTACGAAACGAATGAAGCGCAAGAACTACCCGGCGAGGCGATCGTGGTGGCGGCGGAGGGAATCGGCGACTCCCAAGGCGTCGAGAGCCTTCCAAGCGTTATTCCATGTCGTCAAAGCATATCCAGCGGCTCTCAAAGAATCGGAAGTTTCTAACACTAAGCTTCGGATTCCTAACCTGTGAAGCCCTAAGGCAGTGGCCAGGCCGCTGCTTCCATGATTGATGCAGAGAAATCGCTTTGGCCTTGAAATTAATGGCGAATGGATTATGAATTGTCTTCCACTGTATGGTTTTCCGGTTGAAGAAATGTTGTTAGAGAGGACAAATCATTGGAGGCAGTGCTCCAATAATTGCATTTTGTGGCGGGCTCTATTGCAAGCCGCCACAATGGAGTATTTTGTTGTTTTTTTTTAGCCAAGTGAAAAATAAGTATTTATGAAAAAAAAAAAATCCACATTTCAAAGTAAAAAATATATTTTTCCTCCCTCCCAAGTTATTTTTTTTTTAATTTTTGACTTTTTTTGGTCTTGAATTTTTTTAATAAAATAGTTCGGAGTGATTCAGAATCAAATTGATCAATAATGCAATAATGCAAATGGTAGTCATAGGACGAGAAACCGCTAGTAGATATTGTCGGTGACCGTCCAAGTCCACAACTAGTAGATATTGTCTGTTATATTACGTATCGACGTCAGCCTCACATTTTTAAAACGCATCTGACCCCGCCTCACATGTTTAAAAATTTAAACCATTTTCAAGAGCTTAAAGAACTAAAATTGTAACTTATAAAAGGATCACAGGGTTGAGGACGCCAAATATAATCCACGTCCCTATTCTTGGCCCCGACTCCATTTAGGTTACGAGGAAAAATCTTCTCCATTCCTATTTAAACAGAAATACCATGACCTGAGGACAGTAAATATAATCTCTATCTTAATTCCTATCCCCAACCCCATTTAAGTTACGGGGAGAAATCTTCTCCATTCCTATTTAAATAGTGATACCATGACC